TCTAACCCTCCCTGTCCCCTGACTGCCCCAATCCCTCTCCACACCCCTGCCCCCTGACAGGTCCCCCCAGAACCCCTGACCCATCCAACCCTCCCCCTGCTCCCTGTCCCCTGACTGCCCCAATCCCTCTTCACACCCCTGCCCCCTGACAGGTCCCCCCAGAACCCTCACCCCATCCAACCCTCCTGCTCCCTGTTTCTTGACTCGCCCCCAGCGCGGGGGAGGGAGCGGGGCTGGCCAATCAGGGCCGGCTGCCATGGGCAGGGGGGTGACTTTCTGGGCCACTCTAGTTTGTAGCGGCACAAACAGCTCCTGCTCCCATTTTGCTACCGGCGTGCTGAAGCTGCAGGGGAGGGAGGGGGAAGCGGGGGAGGGGCTTTTGCTGCCGGAGCGGCTCAATCCGGCGCGGCTGCCCTGTCAGCCGCTTTTGGGTCTTTAGATAGCCGTCCGGGGGGAAATCCCGGACATTTTTAGCTTTTTACAAGTTCCCCCCGGACGGCTATTTAAAGACCCAAAAGCCGGACATGTCCGGGGAAACCCGGACGGATGGTAACCCTAGATTCCATCCTTTGAGCCACTTTTTTCCACCCCAAGTGCTAGACATGTGGCCGTTTCTCCCCCCCCGTATGGGGTTTATGGGAAGGCTTCACGCCAGGTCCCTCAGACCCTGGCATTCCACCAAGAGGGCATGTCTAGATTACTAGGGCACAACTGGCTAGCTGTATGCCTGATATTGCTTATAGTTATCCAGTTCATTTACTAAATATATAGGGCTGCTCCTCAGCAGTACTGATGATAAGACTATATAGCAGGGATGGGCAAACTTTTTGGCCCAATGGCCACATTGTGGTTGCGAAACTATATGGAGGGTCAGGTAGGGAAGGCTGTGCCTCCCCAAACAGCCTGGCCCCTGTCCACTATCCGCCTCCTCTCACTTCCCACCCCCTGACTGCCCCCCTCAGAACCCCTGACCCATCCAACCCCCCCTGCTCCTTGACCCCTGACGGTCCCTTCCTGGGTCCCCCACCCCCAGGATCCCTCCCCCATCCAGCCCCCCCGCTCCCTGTCCCCTGACTGCCCCCCCCGGGACTCCCTGCCCCTTATCCAACCCCCCCTGCTCCCCGCCCCCTTACCAGGCTGCTCAGAGCAGCAGGAGCTCACAGCCCTGCCACCCACACTGCCTGGCAGGAGCGGCGGGCCAGAGCGCTGGCTGCGGGGGAGGAGGGACAGCAGGGGAGGGGCCAGGGGCTAGCCTCCCCGACCGGGAGCTCAGGGGCCAGGCAGGACAGTCCCGCGGGCCGTAGTTTGCCCACCTCTGCTATATAGCAATGATGATATGAAGCTAAATGGAGTTGTTGCTTTATTTTAGATAAGACTTTCAATTCTGGTCCTTCTTACTTTCATGTATCACCCTTATGTTAACCATTTTAAAGCATAGAAATTACAATAAGATGTGCACTTATATTGGATTCTTGGAAGTTTTCACGTAGAGATGAAATCTTTTCCTTTCTTCAGTGAAATGTCTTGATTTTGATGAGTCTGTCTCTAAATACTGTAAAATGGGAAATATTGTCTAAATACAATTTTTGCTATATTTATGAGTTTGAAAACACTAACAATAATGGCAACTTCTCACAATATGCAAACAGCAGCACTTGCCTGCAGACCATCTGGGAACAAGAAAACAATTCTACCTGTTGGGTTTTTTTTATAAGACACCCATCAATGAAATATATGAGCACGTAACGAAAATGAATGTGTTGGTAGTCTCTTCTGTTCTAAGATAAACAGTTCTACAGCATCTTTAGGGCTCACATAATGTGGTGTTGTGGTTGGTATCTTAGCACAAACTTCATAGGGAATTACATTTATTCTGAAGGGCAAAATGCTAAAAGTTAAACTCACTGTTTCATGGATTTAGTGGGAGGATTTTTTAAGAACATATACTGTTGCTTATGAGTCTATGCACTGAGTATGAATCGTCTGCTACTGTCTCCCTATTTTACAGTCTTAAATTTTTTTCCGAAATATTTACTTTTAGAGTCAGACATAGAGTCGAATATTTTTGTATTGCTTCTGTCTTGCCTATTTATGAATGGCAATGTAAATGTTTTCGTAAACATATTCTGTACTTGGTCTCCCGATACCACAGTTCCTTCTTCCAATCCAACAGTTATTTTGCTGCAGTCACTGTGAAGGGTAATGTTAGTTTCAGAGTTACTGAGCTCACTACTGATAGGCTTTAGAATAATAATGCACAGGATCATCTCCAGAGTCTGGCAATAAAAATTATGGAGTGCTCTGAAGCCCAGATGTGTGGGCCATGTTTTAATAGCAGGAGAGAATTTAGTAGATAGTAAGTAATTTCATGTCTGCTAGTCTGCTCTATTGCACATGCATGTGGTCTAAAGAATAAAGTGTGATTTAAGATGGTAGGAAAAGAATCAGAAGGTGGAAGGTGATGTTGAGGTGTCTAATAGCAATACACTTGATAAGAAGCATCTGTGTGTTTTTATTTGGAAAATAACTTCTCTTGTTGCATAGGTTTTTTTTCTTGGGTTTTAAGTAAAAAATAAACATCAGTATTACAAAGGTCTCAGCAGACACTTGCAACAAGTGTAAAATATAGTTTTTGATTTTAGTTCAAATTTGGATAAATTCAAGATCTGGAGAATCAGGGTTTACCTGTAGAAGAACAGGAAAACACTGAAGAACTAAAAATGTCTTAATTAACATAAAGATCTTATAAAAGGAAAACATTGTGCTTCCTGCTCTCCCCCCAAAAGTCTGGTCCTTTATAGAAGGTGCCAGATGGGCCAACAATGAAGGATTGAGGGTTAAATTGCTGCACTCTGAGACCGTTTGCAGGCATAAGACCAGAGTAAAGAGAGTAGTCCAAAGAAACTGTTTACAGATTTTTGAGGCTCTGCATCCCAAAGTTCAGAAGGATCAGAGGAACTTGTTCATAGTTTATTACGTTAAACTTGAGGTGGGTGTCCATTTGCTTTGTAAACATTTACAGAAATTATCAGCTGATATCATGGGCTCCCTACAGATTAACATATTTTAAAAATTAATCTTGCTCAGGGGTTTTCTTATGCATGCCAAAAATAAAAAAAAAGATCACACCTTTCCTGCCTAGTGTAGATAAGGGAAATGAGGGAAGGAAGTAGTCTTTGGTGGGGAATTTGAGAGTAGATAAAGATTTACTGTGACCCCCAAATTGTGAAAAACAAATAATAAACAGCCTTAAGAACATAAGAACGGCCGTACCGGGTCAGACCAAAGGTCCATCTAGCCCAGTATCCTGTCTACCGACAGTGGCCAATGCCAGGTGCCCCAGAGGGAGTGAACCTAACAGGCAATGATCAAGTGATCTCTCTCCTGCTATCCATCTCCATCCTCTGACAAACAGAGGCTAGGGACACCATTCCTTACCCATCGTGGCTAATAGCCATTAATGGACTTAACCACCATGAATTTATCCAGTTCTCTTTTAAACGCTGTTATAGTCCTAGCCTTCACAACCTCCTCAGGTAAGGAGTTCCACAAGTTGACTGTGCGCTGCGGGAAGAAGAACTTCCTTGTATTTGTTTTAAATCTGCTGCCTGTTAACTTCATTTTGTGACCCCTAGTTCTTGTATTATGGGAATAAGTAAATAACTTTTCCTTATCCACTTTCTCCACATCACTCATGATTTTATATACCTCTATCATATCCCCCCTTAGTCTCCTCTTTTCCAAGCTGAAGAGTCCTAGCCTCTTTAATCTCTCCTCATATGGAACCCGTTCCAAACCCCTAATCATTTTAGTTGCCCTTTTCTGAACCTTTTCCAGTGCCAGTATATCTTTTTTGAGATGAGACCACCACATCTGTACGCAGTATTCGGGATGTGGGCATACCATCGATTTATATAAGGGCAATAATATATTCTCAGTCTTATTCTCTATCCCCTTTTTAATGATT